TACATCTCCACCAACTTCTTCTGGTTCGCCGGATCGGGGACCTTGAACATGGTCGTCCGGAAGATCTGCTGGCCTCTTGAACCCATTGTTGTTGTTGTTGGCGTAGTGGCTGTCACTGCAGTGAAAATTTTCCTATCGAAAAACCCCCTGTTTTTCCTGTGAGCTGCTCCAAGGGTGGAATTGATCCTCTGTTGAGTTGTGCTTCGTACTGGGTTATTATACCCTTTGTTGACCCCTATTCCGGCCTCCGCCCCCTTCCCCTCCGGCACCCACACCAAACCCGGCGGCTCGTCGTACAACAGGAACGCCGCCGAAAGAGCTGCCCGATTCATGACAGGGTGCAAGCGGCGGTGGTGATGACCGAATCCACTGGCGGTGGTGGCCGACAGCTCCCTCCTCCATGGACCAACAAGGTTTTCACCACCCCCCGCATTTCCCCCGATGTCGAATCATTCCAGCCTGTCGTGTCAAGGTGTCGTCGTGTAACCGCCAAACAACCCACTAGCTCCAGACACCAAAACCGGTGATCAGAAAAGTTTCCAGGGAATAAAAGAAGACCGGTCTACGCCTCCGGATCTCCCCCATCTTCGACGTCCGCCCGCTGTCGAAAGTTGTCTGCCTCATGGCAATGTCTCAGTTGACTGGTGGCTCCAAGGGCGGCCGCAGTCAAGACTAGCTGACACCAAAAAAAAACCAAAAAAAAACCAAAAAAAAAAAAAAAAGAAGAGAGAAGTGGAGGCCCGACAGTCCCATTCACTGCATGAGTCAGATAACAAGTCAAAAATAAAGTCCTGATATCATCATTATTATTCATCACCAACAACCAACAGCCAACCACCAACCACCAACATCAACTATCACGACTAAACACACACAACAAACAACAACAGCAAATAGATATCTCAGCAACACACGAACCCCCAGACACCACCAACAACAACAACCAAAATAAAAGACTTTAATTCACTGTTAAATATTCACCAACCAGTCCCAATCCCCATCCACACACCAAAAACTCCCCTTCCATGGTTTGATAACAATTCCCCATTTATGAAAAAAAGAAGCCATGCTCGCCAGTGCCAAAAAAAGTCGCGCCTGTTCTCTGCTAAATGCTAGAAATACCCCCATGTTCCCCCGGCTCCCCATAAATAAGAGCAGTGAAGAAAGAAAGAAAGAAAGAAAAATACTTAACAACATCATGTAACCTCCTCCCCATTCTCCTTCTTCTCCACCCCATTCCCATTCACCTGCGCAACAACAACCCTCATCTTCTCCAACAACTCGGGCATCCTGTACGGCTTCACCAAAACATCATCACACCCCGCCTCCTTCGCCTCCAAAATCTGCTCCATCCGCGCATTCGCACTCACAGCAATGATCGGTATCCTCCCCCCCTTGATCATCCCCTTCCGTTCCAGCTCCCGAATATGCCTCGTGCACGTCAGGCCATCCTGCACAGGCATCTCGATGTCCATCAGGATGACCGACAGGGAAAACTTCTTCTCTCTGCTGCTGCTCTCCCCCTCATCACTGCCCGAAAAAACAAACCGATCCGTCTTCCTCAACTTGTCCAGGCACTCCACCCCGTGATTGGCCACATCGACATTGAAACCCATGTTCACCAACCCTCGACGAGTAATAAGCTGATTGATCAGGTTATCCTCCACGACCAGAATCCCGCTGATCGTTGGCGGAGGGGTAGACAGGCTGTTGGTTGACGGAATAAAAGTAGTCGACAACCCTGACGGAAACAACGGCGGGGTGCTGACCTCACTCCCCGAAGATGGGGTAATCGGACTAGGCCTCGAACCACTTCCCCCCGGAGTGATGACCGTCGATTCACTCGGCGAGCCCCCATTCGCCGCCCGTCTACTGGCCGAGTTGCCGATGCCGTTCACCTTCCCACTCAGCTTAAGAGCAGACATCTTGCTTGCCGCCAGCGCCGCCGCCTCGGCTTCTTGTCTCGCTTCCTCGCTGGGGATGGAAGCCTCGATGTAAAAGACAAACGTGCTGCCCACCCCCGGCTGGCTGGCAACACCTATCGCCCCGTTTTGAAGCTCCGTCAGCCGGCGGCTGATAAACAGCCCCAAACCTGACCCGCCGTACTTGACGTGGGTGCGACTGGAGGCTTGGACAAAGCGCTTGAAGAGGCTCTTCTTCTCCTCATCGGTAAGACCTTGTCCCGTGTCCTTGACCTCGAACATGACAAACACTGGTTTCCCGCGGGTGCGGGGAGCAGGATTGGACGGGTCATGTCCAAAGTAGTCCTCCTCCGACCGAGGGATAAACTGAACCTTACTAGAGCTCGCCGCCTCCGTCGGTCGGGTAAGACTGGCGCTGATGGCCACCGACACATTTCTCGTCGGTCCTGTCTTAGTGAACTTGAGAGCATTGGTAAGAAGATTGATGAGAACCTGCTTCAGCCTTGACGGATCAAAGTCCAGATACTTGATCCCGAGATCGCGGTAAGACTGGTCGACCACCATGCTCAGATTGATATCCACCCTGCGAGCCTCAATCTCAAACATTTTGAGCGCTTCTTGAACCATGAGAATCGGGTTGACCGTGATGGGCGTGATGGCAAGCAATTTCGAGTCGAGCTTCGACATGGTAAGAATATCGTCCACAATCCTCTTTTGATGCTGGGCACATCCGACAATGGTCTCGGCACTATCGATACTGCTCTCGATGAGGCCAATCACATCTGTGCTGCAGTCCTCACTAATGTCTGTGTTCAGCGACAGCCCATCGCGAGACTCGGGTCTCGGAAGTGCCGCACAGGCTGCAGAGCCGCAAGGTGGGTTGCTGACCAGTTCCTGGACCCTCGCAAGCGTGGCGATGATGGCATCTGCGCAGTGGACGATCGCGCTTAGCGGATTCCGCATCTCGTGTGAAGTCATATCGATAAAGTTTTCCTGCTGTCGCTTCGACTCAATCGCCTCCTCCTTTCTCTTCTTCTCCATGTCAAGCTGCCACTTCTGCAATGAAACATCGCTCAGACAGCCCGTGAAGCTTTGGATCTGCCCCTCTGTCGTCCGCACCGGCATCAAAGTAGCCTGCACCCAACGGTTCGGCACAATGACCTTGTGGCCAGCCCCGTCGTCGGCCGTCCACGCCGTCTTCAAGCGAACCTCCACATTCTGCACCTTGTCCTGCCTCACCATCGTCTCAATCTTCTCGGTAATCTGCAGGTGATCCTCCTCACACACACAATCCTTCCAGGGCCGAAGCTCGACCTCAGACGGGTCAACCTTCTCGAGCCCGCACATCTCAAAGAAGACATTATTGGCCCCTAGTAGCTTCCCCTCCAGATCCATGTCATAAAGCCCAACCGTTGCAAACTCGGCCATCCTCTTCAAGTTCTCCGCCTGCTGAGCCCGTCTGACCGCCTCCTCAGCAGCCCTCTTGTGCGCAGTAACGTCCGTAAGGCAGGTCAATACCCTCAGAATGCTCCCATCCACCGCCCTCTCCGCCCTCGCGGCAGCAAGAACATGCCTCTCCTTCAAATCCTCCACCGACGACAGATCCAGCCCCGCCTTCTCAAAACTCGGCGACGTCCTCGTCAGCGGCGCCTCCAAATTGGCCTGCTGCTTCACCCTAAACTCAAACTCGACGTTGTTCACCGACTTGAGCCTGTCATACTGCGACACAAGCATCTGTCTGTCCTCCTCCACAATGCACGCCAAGAACCCAGAGCTCTTCACCGGACCCGTCCCAGGATACCCTGTAATCTTATACCAGGCATCATTGGCAAAAGTGATGTTTCCCTCCGGATCTCCAAAGCACATGCCCACCGGCACGAACTCAGCCACAGCTTCAAACATTTGAATCGACTCGTTTGCTTCCTTGGTCTGAACCGCAAGTTTCTCCTTGAGCATAGCCTGATCATACGCAGCTTGCTCAGCAGCGTTGCGGCCCCGTCTCGCTTCCTCCTCCAACAACACAATCGATGCCAGAGATGTCGCGAGCTTCTGGTTCAGTAACGAAATGTACTGCCTGTAATCGTTGTCGTACGGGCGCCGGGGATTCAGCCCCAGAAAGAGAAGGCCCATGACATTCTCCTTCTTGGTAGGTCGGATCGGACAGATGACGGCCGCTCGGCAGGGGTCGTCGTTGAATCCCCTCCACTGCAGACCCTCCAGCAGATGTGTTGGCAGACTCTCATCATGCGTCTGTAACAAGAGCGGGTGGGGTGCCTTGAGCGCTTCTCTGAAGGCCGCCGCAAGTCCGTCATCACTCATGCGCAAACTGATCGTGTGCGGAGCAATAGGATGCTCCTCGGGCACACCCAATGCCCCTTCCAACCGGCAAATTTTGGAAGGTCCCAGGCTGGGAGAAGGGGGGACAGAAGAAGCTTCGGGGTCTTCGTCAACACTGTAGAGAATCGCCAGCGGAATGTCGTACTGAGGGTCAACCGCCTTGAGCTGCTCGATCGTCTTCTCCCAATAACTCTTGACGTCCCTCGCTGTGATCAAAACCTCGCCCAAATCAATCAGCATCTTCATCCGCCGTTCCCACAACCTCATACTCGTCGTCTCGGCCACGGCATGCATGAATCCCAAATACTCATTGTTTTCAACAACGGGTATAAGCGACCACTTGAGATACGTCTCCTCCTGCCAGTTCGGACCGCCCTCCACCTCGGCCTCGCGCTCAATAAAGAACCTCCACTCGTCCTCCACAACGCCCTTTTGCTTAAGGCTAAAGCTCCGCATCGTATCCTTGAGCATCTTTCCTGCCTCGTGCCAAGCGTCATCCACAGACATTCCCAGCATTTCCGGGTGCCGAGAACCGCACAGTTTGCTATAGGCTTCGTTATAAATCATGGTGTACTCCGCACCCCAATACAGTGCTATTGGCCGACTGTCGACGAGGATTTGGTTGAAGGTCTGCTCCAGTCTCGAAGACCAGCTCTTCTGAGGCCCAAGTGGGGTTGCGGCCCAGTTCACACTGTCGATTACATCTCCGAAAAACGGCTCCTCTGGAATTGCACGTCAGCCTATGTTCTGGATCAAAACAAAAAAGAACTTTTACCTGGGTCGATATCGGGCAGAATCCATCCTGGGTCTGAGGCGGACCGTTCCAGAGACAAAGACTGAACGGTTTCAGCGCGCAAAGCCAGCCGGTCTTTTGTAGTAGTCTGAACCACGGCAGATGTAGATTTAGTCCGGTTATCCAGCGCATGTACCGGTCGAGCCGGTGAGACCGGTGCGGAGGGGGGTCTTTCCGATGCTATCTCAATAACAGTATCCGTCTCCGCAAATTCAACAGGCGGCCTCGTGCGCCGAAGCGTCGGTTCCGCAATGCTTTTGTCTGGCCCAGGGCCAGGGGTCGTCGACTCGACTCGTATTGTGGGCGGTACGGGCTTGGAGGGTGGTTTCGCCTGCTCGTTTGCGCCCACTACCACCATCTCTTCATTTACTACTGCTCTCGTCCAGTACGTGTCGGAGTAAGAAAGTGACGGCCCGGCGGTCGTTGCCGTCGAGCCGCCCGAGATCCATTCCCATAGAGGGGCATTGTCTTCCTTTGCGGCTGTTACAAGCTCAAGGAGGCACGGGTGTTCCCCAAAGGCCGGGTTCGTGTAGACGACAGTGGGCGGGTGAGGGATGAGGGCGACAATGAACGAAGGTCTCGGGTCGGCCTCTAGCAGATCGATAATGCTCGTCTCCAAGAAAGAGGAGCGCATGGCTGTGTTCTCAAGGTCGGAAGTGGTGTGTAAGTGGCGGGTGGGATGCGGGTAAAGAGAATCAGCTTTCGCGATGGAAGGAGAAAAATGGACGGCCGTATGGGCGGATTGGCAGGGCGCAATGCATTATCTGTTGCTGACGTATGGTGTTGTTTTCTAATGCGACACGCGAGTGTAGAGGTTGGGGGAAGTCGCAACCAGAGATCAGGAAATCGAGGTTGACGTGCAACCCGAATCGAGTTTGCCAGGTGACCAACAGTGTGCGGCGAGGCGGGGGGGGGTAGCTCAATTGCTGTTGGTTAGGAGAGGGGAACAAAAGAGCGTTGAGCAGTTCAGAAGAAAGGCCTTCTTTCCATCCCTACACCAGTGTCCGTCTTTTCGGGCCGGCCTGGCTTGTTGACGAGAAATGTGAGGTGTGCTGAAGCAACAATCGTGGGGAGGTGGGATGTGGAGGACCGGTTTCCGTTGATCTTTGTTTCCAGACCGCGGCCGGTCGACATGGGACCTGGAACCGGCGCTGAGTGGGCGCCTGGTTCGCCCGCCCCTCCGTCCGCCGCACATCTTCAGTGGGTGTTCAGCGGCGTAATCCGCTAACGTCTCCTTTGGGAGTGGTGGCACTTGGCAATATCACCAGACATTGCAGAATTTGTGGTCAGCATGCATCCAAAAATCCCGTCATTCCCAGAAATTTTGCGGTTGACTGATGCCAGCAGCACTGGGTTACCAGGTCGACCCACCGAACTTTCTAGTGGAGATGCAACCGCTCCGTCTTTGTCAGGACCCCTAACGGGCAAGACTTTGACAACACAAGCATTCCCATTCATCAGTATCCAACCAAGTGAAGCACCCGGCGCCGTCCTAGGATGTCGGCATCATTGGGGGGAAAACAGCCTCCTCCACCACGCTACACCCGACAGCGGGCAGCATTACCCGTCTCATGGTGCTTGCCTGCGGAGGGCCAATGAGGGGTTCTACACACCACACTATTTTTATTCTGTGACATGCCCATCTCGATACGATAGGCCAACCCGACAATCCCATGCATGTCACTGTCAAATCTGCATCTTTGGGCCCCAATTGACAGCAATCACAGCGGGACCTTTCCGGTCCGGCCTCAGGGGGGAGGCGGTCTGTCGAGCCATGTGTGAAGAGATGTGAACGAAGACAGCAAGGGTTCAGAGGAGGACACTTGTTAAATGGGGATCACCACTTCTGAAGACGCCCGGTGGCTTAATCGCATCTTCTTTCCTACATCAACTGCAAGCTGGTAGATGCCCCCGAGTTACCTGGTTGCCCTGGTCTAGCAATCAATGCTTGATTAGATAGGTAAGAGATAATGATGCTGCCCCTCATTCTCGGTGCATCTTTTTTTCTCACCACCCCGCAGCTGACCACGATGACGCCTTACCCCTGAAGAGCTTCTTGCAATGTCTTGCCAGTCAGACGTTTGAAAGCATCCAAATACCTCTCGCTGGTGGACTGAGCAATATCAGCAGGCATCTCAACACCATCCTTGCCCTTGAGCCCCTCCTTGGTCAACCAATTTCTCAAAAACTGCTTGTCGAAGCTGTCCTGGTCCCGGCCAACCTCATATTCATCCGCAGGCCAGAAGCGCGAGCTGTCGGGGGTGAGAACCTCGTCAATGAGGACAATCTCATCTGTCTCCTCGTCCAGACCAAACTCAAACTTGGTGTCGGCAATGATGATCCCCCGCTCAGCCGCATAGGCCGCACCGGCCTTGTAGACCTTCAACGCCAGAGCCTCGATGCGTGCAGCGTACTTCTCTCCAACGATCTTGGCCGCCTGCTCGGGGGTGATGTTCTCGTCATGCTGGCCCAGCTCGGCCTTGGTGCTGGGGGTGTAGATGGGCTCCGGGAAGGGGGAGCATTGCTGGAGGCCGGCAGGCACGGCCAGTCCGTGTACCGTGCCCGACTTCTTGTACTCGTTCCACGCGCTTCCCGTGATGTAGCCACGCACAATGGCCTCGACAGGGAATACCTTGAGCTTGCGAACCTGCATGCTGCGGCCGCGCACCAGCTCCTTGTCGGCATCGCCGAGGGTTGGCAGGAGGGTCCAGGGTGATGAAGTGAGTCTTGAGATCCGGGATCCGCTCCTGGAGTACCTTGAACCAGTGGGCCGAGATGTTGGTGAGAACAGCGCCCTTGAGGGGCACCCCGTTGGCCATGATGACGTCGTAGGCTGAGATGCGGTCCGTTGTTACGAACAACAGCGTCTTATCGTCGACATTGTAAAGATCCCGCACCTTGCCGCTGGCAAGCTTGGCCAGGGAGCTGAGCTCAATGTTTGTCACCACTGGGATCGACATGCTGTACTGTGTGATGTTGTCTGATGACTGCTGCTGTGGTGGTGACTCGAACCCTGTTTTTTCGATGTAGTGTAAAGTTGCGAGTGAGTAAGTCAGTAAGTTCTTTGCCCAATCAGACCAGCGAAAATGTGTGTGTGTTATGCCCCAATCCGATGTTCGGTGCGGTGTTTTTTCTGATTAACCGGGCCCGGTCTTAGAGCAGAGGTGGTGGAAGGTGGGGCCGAGCCGGCACCTCCCGCACGCACATATCGGATCACTACCGGTGCTGGCCAATCTGTAGTCTTCATGTCTGATGATCTGGTATCTGTTCTTCTGATGCTACTCTTGAGTCTTTGGATTTCTCGATGAAACCTTAGTCGTGGATCTACCTTTCCCTTGACATGTGACTTTGATAGTAGCACCTGCAATTAGCTTTGCGCCTTGCTCAGGCCGACGGTTACCGAGACCGACTTACATGCGGGAAGACTATCCTGCATACTCCACAAACTTCACGTGATATCTGGTAAATTATATGTACAGTAGAGACACAGAATTATCCCTTACGTCAAGATACAAGCAAAATGGATGACAAGCCCCCAAGAACTGCATCGCTCGATTTTGCCCTCAGGTGAGCGGATTTCGGCAGACACATGCTGGCCGAGAGTTGGGCCAAGTTGCTGGGCCTGAGCTGGGCAACTTGGCGACGTCAAGCAAAGACGGTGAAAGGAGCAATCGACCGAAAACTCCCACAAAATAGTCGAGGTTGTAGACGGACATCGGGAAATTTGAATTGCGACAGCCTGGATTCTTCTAGCGCCGTCAGTGCCGAACACCCGAGTGACGGAATATCTCAACGGCACTCGTCGTTCCCCCAAATGGACGACAGCCCTCCCTCAGCTTGCTCAAAAAAGGCATCGTCAGATTGTCAGATATGCATGTTCTGCGCGGTGCGTCCAACACCGCCCCTAACATTCGCTAATTTGTCGGTATTTGCTGCTTTCGCATGCGGCTCCCACCACCCTACTACTCCGTATTGACTGGGCATCTCAAACTGAAAAGTAATTGTAGTGACCGTTGAATGAGAAGACCCACCTGTCCGAGATATCATGGGACGCCCAGCAAGCCTCCCAAGATCCCAAGAGCCGCTTGGGCTTGGCGTTTCGTACATTTTCCACGAGTGAACCGGGAGCGCAAACGCGAGATCAGGTCTTGTTGGGCACAGATTTGCGACAATGCGGAATCCTCTCGGGAAGAGGCGTCAGAGCTTGTCGGATGGCCGCGGTGCCCAAGATTGCCCAGGCCGTGAGCCAGAGGAGCGCCCATGGCATTCCCCAAACGAGCACCTGCGACAGTGCTGATCGGTCTCGGCGCCAAGGACAAATACAGCGTGGATTGGTCTTTGCGTGAACGAGGGGTCCTGCCCAGAACAACGCCCAGACCAGTCCAAGACTTGGGACGCCGCGCGACGCCAAGGGCTGAGAGGGAATCAAGGACATTTAAAATGGCGACGGAACCCCAAGGGCGAGAAGCATCACCGGTTCCGTCCAGTGTTGCTTCAAGCTCGTGTATCTGTTTTGGTTCCTCACTGGTATGTTTCCCCCCCGTCTCTCCACGATGGATTCAGACATTGTCGATGCTCTCCAGACTGCCATTTCCTATTGACGTGACTGACATACGAAAGAAACACCTCCGAGCCAAGCGCATATATCGCCCATTGCCAGCGGCGCGAAGTCTCGGCGATATCTCCGACATGCCTTGACGTTCATCGAGCTCCCCCTTCCAGCCAAACCGCCTCGAGGCCTCCATTCGATCTTCTTCTCAGTCCCAGCCGTCTGGACGGCCTGGATTGCAACACGAAAGCTTTCAGCAACTGGCTCAGGGGTCGAGCCCCTGAACGACTTCCCCCTACGATCAGGCCGAATTCGAGCCTAGAAACCACCCGAAATGCAATTGGTTGCTGCTTCCGTGTTGGCTCTGGCATCGGGAGTTTTCGCGCAAAATGTCGTCCAGTTCAATGTCTCGAGAGGCGTGCCAGGAGTGCACTTGGGTTCCATACCCGTGCTGGGCAAAAGGGCCGCCACCCATTCGGAACGGCTGATCAACTTCATGGCAGGCGGAGGGTACTATGCGCGCGTCAGTCTTGGGACACCACCGCAGGTCATTACCATGCTGCTGGACACGGGCAGCAGCGACGCTTGGGTCCTGAGCCACAAAGCCGACCTCTGCATTGATGACGATCTCCAACAAGAGACTCAGTTAATATGCGTCGACACGTTCAACCCCAGCAAATCCTCCACCCACAAGGTGATCGACCCCCGAGGCTTTCAAATCAAGTATCTTGACGGTGGCATAGCCTCCGGGGGCTGGATGCAAGACGATTTTACCATTGGTGGCACGACGATCAAATCCCTCCAGCTAGCCTATGTGACCAAAGCCAAACGCAACACAGGAATCCTTGGGTTAGGTTTCGCCGCCAGCGAGAAAGCTGCAACCAAATACCCCAACATCATCGACCAGCTCGCCAACCAGAACCTCATCTCGTCCAAGGCCTTCTCCCTCTACCTCAACGATCGCCGCACCGACGCGGGCTCCATCCTCTTTGGCGGTATCGATACGGACAAGTTCATCGGCCCCCTCCAAATCATCCCCTTGCTGGCCACAAACGGGACGTACACCTCCTTCGAGATCGACTTCTCCTCGTTAGCAGTCACCCTGCCCAACTCCACCACTCTCGACATGAAAACCTCCATGCTCGCCCACGCCGCCCCAGCAGTCCTCGACTCGGGCACCACACTCTCATACCTCCCGGACGACATGGTCGATATCCTCATCGGAAACCTGGACACGTTTTTCGACCCAGAACTAGACATGCTCCTCATCAACTGCGCCTACCTCACCTCTTCCTCCCCTTCCCTCTCCTTCCAATTCTACTTTCTCAACTCCACAGCCTCAATCCGCGTCCCGGTGTGGGAAATGGTCCTCGACGTCTTGTCGCCATCTTACGTCCCCCCAGATGACGCCCCCTTCAAAAACGCCTGCCTATTCGGTATCCAATCCACCGAAATCTTTGAGACGACCGGCACGGTCAAGCAACCTAACTTCACCCTCCTGGGCGACACTTTCCTCCGATCAGCATACGTGGTTTTTGACCTGGGGAATTACGAAGTGGGCATGGGGCAGGCGAACTTGAATTCGAGCAGCTCGAGGATCATTGAGCTGAAGGAAGGGGAAGGCAAGAATGCCACGGAGACGGAGACTGCGACGAAAACAAAGGGGTTGCCCGAGGTGACGGGGGTGTTGGCGCAGCAGACTACTTTTACACCTACTACGGGGCCGGTCATGACGTTGGTTACTACCAAGAATAATGCCGCCGTCAAACTTGGGATGACGGGAGTGGGAGAGATGATGGGGGTTGTGGGAATCACGAGTTTGATGGCGGTTTTGGGGGGAGTGTTTATGGCGCTTTGAAAGATTTGATATATATATATATCATTCAAGAGGTGGGCTTGTTTGATTTTGTACATGTAATGGGGGGAAACAAAAAGGTACATATACTTTCCTCTATACATTTTTCACACACTAGATATCCGTACACGACACATGATTGTTCTACCTCTTCCTTCTCCTCTTCAAACGGTGGGGAGTACTACATAGATAAACAAATTAAATCAAAAACAAGTCAAATACCCCTTGCTTTCTACTAACAAGTTGTTTGCTAGTCAGATGATCGGCCATGCAACCAACATAACGCATCATATTCATAACGACACAATTGAGACTCAAATCTCACAAGGCAAAATCTGTCAGCTCACCCTATCTACTATGATCGCTGCCAGAGTGGTCTGGTTTAACACCAATGACAGTTCCTAGTAGTTTAGCAAAAGGTTCTCCCCAGAAATCCCTCAGGCTTCTCACCCAAGTACACAGAAAAAAGGTTGTCCGACTTCCATGGCTGGAAAACCTTCCTCCAACCCTCCTGCCAACCACACAACAATTCCCATTTTACAAAACATTCGTTCGTTCTTTGCAAACGCGTAGTTACAGCTTCAGAAATCCAACCTAGTAATTCTTGTGCGAGATGCTGACAGCACGAGCCCAAAAGTCATCGGCGGAGGCGAGTCTGAGCGCCGCATCTTCGGAGGGCCGTGTTCTGGGGACCACGAAAGTGTTGGCCTGGGGCGCGGAGGCGGGATCAGTCTCAACCTTTGGCTCTCCCTAGGTGTCCTCCAGCTGGTCCCTAATCGCTCTCTGGGGGGACTTCTGTACGGAAGAGAGAGTTGTCGGCTGGACAGGAGATCTGGGAGGTGTCGGGTTGTTGACTGCCAGTGCTTCAACAGTCGTAGACCTGGCAGGCTGGACGACACTAGGAGGAGGTGGGCCAGGAGAAAGGATAGCGGACAAACGACTGTCAGCAGACGCATCCATCCGTGAGAGAGCAATCTTCATGGCATCCTGGAGGATCTGCGCAAAGACTTCCTTGACCTCATCAGGTTTGGTAAGCACCTTATCTGCTACCTCTTGGACAATTGCCGTGTAGCCGGAAAACGGCGTGTCCGGGGTGTATGACGATGGGGCCTTTGTCGACACAGGCTCCGGAGCTGACGCCATGGTAGGCTCGACAACAGTGGTGACAGGAGACTTGCGCACCGGGGATCTGGGAGTCTGAAATTCGGGAGCCGGAGTCGCGGCGGGAGGCTGGTGAATGCTGATCAGGGGTTTGTGATGCTGAAAAGCTGGCTCAATAACAGTCTTCTCCTTTTCCTTGTTAAATTTGGCTTCGTTGAGGAGAGCCTGTTGCAACGCAAACTCATCAGCGCGCTCCTCAGCTGGAAACACCACACCGTCACGTCCGACATTGACCGGCGCCTGCTGAATTGGATAAACCGGGGATTGGTTCTGTTTCTCAAACCAAAGAGATGGCGGTTCCTCAACCTTGGCCACTTCCTTACCCTTGCCCTTGTCGACATAGACCGGAGCAACTGGGCTCGGGAAAAAGACCTCGAGGGACGGGCTGCTGGTATCAATCGCCCCCAGGATTTCCATGTTACGACTATCGCCGAAACCAATGGCGGCAAGCCAGCGAGAGCTGGCCTTGAGGACGTCTTTGTCTTGCAGAAGCAAGCCGAGTTGCAAATCCTTGACTTGGGTAATAAAGTCCGTAACACTGCTGTTGACGAAAATTTTCACGTTGGCAGTATCGGTGCCATCGTTCGCAAACTTCATGGCAATGCAAGCCGAGAGCCAGCGCGATGCACGCAAGAATCGCACAACTTTGTAGTCATGTCGTCTCTCTCTAGGACGAACGGCGACTTGATCAAACAGGTTGTGCGCTTCGCCAAACGCCGCAGCATGCCTCTTGTAAAAGGCGTCATCCTGATCGTAGCCGTCGTTCCAGTAACGGCACTTCAGATTGCCAGGCATCGGTAGATGCAGTGCCTTGGCAACACAGTGAGCCAGTTTCATGGAGGAGGCTCGATAATCGAGTGCATCGAAAACTTGCTTGAAGTGGTCATCGTCAGGGTTGGGGTGCTCCGTGAAGCCGCGGTACAGCTCCTGCGTCATTCCGGCTGTCTTCTTGTTCCAGTCGCCGGGACAGGTGCTGAGCTCAATGTCAATGAGGTAGCACAAGTGAAAGAGCTGCGAGCTGCGTTCTCCTCCGAACGCTTCTCCGAAAAACTCCACGCGCCGGACATCCTCGTAAAGAGGGCGATCCATGAACCTCGGGCCCCAGTCTTTCAGTGGCACACCGATTCTGGGGGCGAGAATCTCCCAAGGGTCGGGCCCATTCACCACGGCTGTGTGGCGGCTAGCGAAAGGCGAGAATCCGTGCTCCAAGATTTCGTGAACTCGGCCCTGGAGGTGATGTAGAAAGTTCTTCTGTTCCACGGTGGGAGAAAGCGGCATGAGGTCGTCATACCGTGCGATGTCTTGATGCTCTCGGGCTAACAGAGGCGACTGACGACTGGTAAAGACTTTCATGAATGTGTCCGCAAAAGCTCCTCCCGAAGATCTCGCGATCAACTCCATGGCCTTGGTGGCGGAACATCTCGACGGCCCCATGAGACTAGGCCGGCAGTTCCAACCCCCAGTAAACGCAGAAGGGGTCAACAAGGTGACGGGAAGATTGGGGTTTCCCGTGGCTTCCGCGATAGTTCTACAGATTTCTTCTGTAGTTAAGAATTTCTTCTCGCCGAAGTCAATGCAAATATCATGCTCGGGGGTGACAGGCGTGAACATGAAAATAACCAAGGGGACGTTCTTGGAGGCAGCAGACTTGGCACTGTCGCCAATCTGCGTGAGAAGAACGTTGAGAAATCCGGCATTGTTGGCTGGAACAGTGGTAATCTGGTCACCGTTGGGGCCAAAGATCTTTCTGCGCATAGGGCTCCCAGGACCTGCATCCAATTTGGTGGAAACATTCTCAAGGAAGCAGTGCAAATCGAGAGAGCTCAGCCAAGTCTGTTTTGGACATATCAGTACTCGACACTAGTCATCGAATCATCAGAAGCCAATGTCATCAACGTACATGATCACTTGGACGACCAAGACCGTAGCAGCCGACTTTATAGGCAAGAAAGTCGGCAACTATCCAGCCGTATTTGTCAGCTTTGGCGTAATTGTCGGCAACACCGCAGACACCGAGAATCTCGGTGTTTTTGCTGATGGGGAAGTCGGGAGGCGCATGGAGAATGAGCTGAACCTCGGACATGGCCGCCAATGGGTCGGTCACGTAAGGGCCCAAGGATCCCATCTCGCCTGATAATAGTGTCAGTCACGTTATCTGAAGCCGAAAGTCGGATGGAAGCCGAAATGAACGGAAATATACGGCTTACAATTGACTGGCTCTTGGCCGTCAACTCTAAAACAGTAGAGGTCGCAGAATGCGATGGGAAGAGAGAAAGAAGGGGGTTTTTCGAGAGAGGATGGTGCCCACCAGTGGTAGGTTGACTGCTTGGGTTCTCTCTGCCAAGTGTCTGGATCAGGGAGAAGGGAATGTGAACCGATTTTGCAGTTTGAGCAGGTGGCACTGTCCTGAATTGTGGCAGTGGGAAGTGGAAGGGAGAAGGCGGGGCGAGGAAGAGAAGAAGGTCAGTGGAGAGAGTGGAAGCCGAGAGTAGAAGAGGGAAGGAGCTGGGGACTGAAGTCGCAAAGCAGCTGAGGGTTGTAGTGGGAGTAAGAAGGCAGGTGCAACCAGGGTGGTTTTCACCTTGACGACGACAATATCAGCGGGGTTATTTTTGACAGGACTTCGGGAAGGTACGGGAGCAGGGCAAGCCGTTCATTATGGCAGGTACCTTGGAGGACAGGCAGGCACAGAGTTTGTTTGCAACATACCTAACCTTAACCTAAAGTGCACAAGAAAACCTTCATCATGGAGTTACCTAGAACTTGCCAAGTTGTTTGCACATGGTAAGCATGGAGACAAGCCACAAGGCTAACATAGTTCAACGACAACAAACGAGAGCTGCGGTCTGCACATACACAATTGCATCTACAGCGGCAGCATGCGTCAAGCATCCATCAGATACTGACATTGACGAACACTGATAAGTAGACTCAGACCTCGATGTCCAGGACATAACCTTTTTCAATCCTGATACCTGTGTCCATCTGGTCAAACTTCGTTTTTACTACAAAAGATCAAGAGAGTCTTCAATCTGGTCTGAAACGGGCGGAAAGAAAGAAAGATGCCCAGCTCTGAAGACGGAATGCACTCCAAGGTCGTTCACTTGTTCACTGTATTCAAAGTCATTCACACATGGGTTAAGTTGTTGGTAGATAGATTGCATATTGTGACGGAACTCACAGATACTCAAAAACACCGGCTTGGGCACTAGACTCTATGAATGACCGACTTATTGAGCCTCAATCTCAATCCTTATACTATGTTCTCTCCGAAATCCTCTTCGATAATTGTAGTCTAGAACTTCGGATGTCTTTCCGAGACACAAGGGAAGTTCGGGACTGGTCCCCGATCGACGGACCCTGGATCGCCAAGATGAATCTAACTGATGATCACCCTCCAATCAAAGGTCACGAAAGCAGTGGCGTTATCGGCTAGGTCTTGGCAAGTGGAGGGGAGCTCAACGACCTCGCATCGTCTGGTAAAATGATAGAATTTAGAAACATCATTGCGTCTTATTATATCTCGCACACCTCAGGGTTGACTGCCTGTGAGAGGGTATAGTTCGTGTTTCTGGTGACTATACTGGGAAGACGGAGAACATTGCTTCGTTAGTCCCGCATTTTCTCATCCTCCAGATTCCCCACAGTCACCCCGCATTAAGCTCTCTGAGCTCCGAGCTTACGACTATCAAAGGAAGTCTTGTCATTGAGCTCAGTGAGACATTCTCACCACCGAGCCTCCCCAATGGCGTCTCCAACCGAGGACCTCTCCCACATCCCCCTGGAAACCCGATCCATCATCACCACCGAATCCTCAGATGGCATCCCCTTCCCCGCCTCCCCCATCCCTCACACCCACCGCACCTGGGCTCGGACCTTCAGCTCTCGCCCTGAAGTCTACCTCCAGCCTTCCACCCTCCCTCAAATAACCAAAATCACTAACCTTGCTCGCCGCTGCCGTCGCCGTCTGGTTGTTGTCGGATCCGGGCACTCCCCTTCGAACCTCACATGCACCTCCTCTTGGATGGTCAACCTGGACAAATACTCTCGTGTCCTCTCGATTGACCCCACCACCGGCATTTGTGTGCTCCAATCCGGCATCAGACTATGGCAGCTCAGCGAGGCCCTCAACAAGGAAGGCCTCGCCCTCCCCAGCATGGGAAGCATCAACGAGCAGTCCATCGCCGGCGCCATCTCTACTGGTACTCACGGCAGCTCCCTCAAGCACGGCCTGATTTCCGAAGGAGTGGAATCCCTCAAGATTGTCCTCGCCAACGGTGAAGAAGTCTTCTGCTCACCAACAGAGAGATCGGATCTCTTCCGCGCTGCCTTGCTCAGCTTGGGAGCCATCGGCATCGTCACCGAGGTGACATTCAGAGCGGTCAAGGCGTTCAGTTTGGCATGGGAGCAATCGATTGACTCCGACAGCAAGCTGTTTGCCGAGTGGGAGTCCAAACTTTGGAAACAATCCGAGTTTGTCAGGGTGTGGTGGTTCCCCTACATGAGAAGGGCGGTAGTTTGGAAGGCGGACAAGGTGGATGAGAATGATTTGGACACGGGGGTGGTGAAGAACTATGATCCGCCCACGAGCTTTCAGGACAGCAAGATTGGGTATTTTGTCTACCACAACTTGCTGGCGTTAGCGAGGTGGTTCCCTAGGATTACTCCGTGGGTGGAGTGGTTTGTTTTTGGGCTGCAGTATGGGTTTGGGAATGGGGAGACGACAACTACGCGGGCGGTGCAGCCGAGTTACAAGGCTTTCTTGTTGAACTGTCTGTACAGTCAGTTTGTGAATGAGTGGGCTATTCCGCTTGCGAAGGGACCGGAGGCGCTGCAGAGATTGGCGGCTTGGTTGCATAGACTGCAGCCCGGGGATGAGGGGTATGTTGAGCATAAGATTCCTTTCAGTGCGGAGGGTCTCTGGGTGCACAGTCCGGTTGAGGTCAGGGTCAGCGATACCACTGTCAAGACCAGCGGCGAAAGGGGAAACAGGCCTTGGTTGGATATCACTCCTGAGGATGGACCGGCGTTGTATCTCAACGCGACGATGTACCGACCTTACCACAAGGACCCAAGCTACAATGCGACGGAAAGGTACTACGAGGCTTTTGAGTGGTTGATGAGAGATCTGGGCGGAAAGCCACATTGGGCAAAGACATTTGCTGTCACGCCGGACGAGTTTGCGAGCAAGCAGTGGTATGGTGAGAATTTCCACCAGTTCAGGAAGGTGAGAGATGAGGTCGACCCTCTGGGCATGTTCGTTGGACCATGGCAGCGCAAGTTCTTGCTGGGAGAGCCGGCGGAGGAGAAGGATAGGCTTGCTTTGGAAGAAGTTGGGTTTGAGCAGAAGCCTGCGAAGGAGGGTGGTTATGTTGTGACGGGGCACCAAAATGTGGTTGTCGCATGAGTGTTTGTGTTAGAGGCAGATAACACGGAGTTTGGCTCGCTGCATTAAATGACGTAGTCGCTGGAGCTTCAATCGACATATCAAAGAAATCGTGGTCTCTTCTTCAAAAGTGAAGCTATCCCAGTGTTCGAGGCACAGTTTCCCGGTTTAGAGATCTCCGGCTGCGGGTCGCCCCGCCTACTGCACGGACCACAGGTTATGCTTGGCGTGCCCCGCGTCAAAACGTTCACTTGGTCAACGGCCATGATCTCATCCCATCAAAACAGACTTCCAAATTGGATTACACGGGATGAAACACGGCGTAACACAGACGGTGTCTGAATTCGGAAGAACAAGATCACGGCGCTAGGGAGTTGGTTAGTTAGCTGCAGTCTAGACAGATGATCGCAACAAGCCTCATTTACCAGCTCTTGACGAATATGCAGGGCGTCGTCGTTTGATGGGGAAAAGTGGTGGCTGGTGTTCCCGTCGCCCAACCACCAGCTCCCACGCCATCCTCTTGGCTCTCCCAGGGACAAGCCCAACCTCTCCAGAAAACAACATGAAGCACGGCAGTCCCTGGTTTCCTGCGTTTTTCTTTCTTGTGCATCTTGCATGATGACATGACGCGCCTCTCCCCTCCTTTCCATCCTGTTTTCGCATCCATCACGATCCAATTGGCCGTGTCACCTGTGGGTTTCTGTTTCTGAGCGAGAAGCGCCCCATTCTTGTTTGCGCTCCGATTCGCAGAAGAGACATGAGCTTCCAGAACAACAAACAGCAGCAGCCTCGTGTGTACACCGACAAACCCCACCACCCTCGATTGGATTGCCTTGCTCACGGCCAATTTTAGGAACACATCTGCAGTACAATCTTGCACAGCAACAACATCCAAGATCACACTCAAATTCTTCTTCCGAAGTCACACCTCCACAGCGGGACGAGGGGCATGCAGCATCTGCCTCTCATCCCAGCTCCCTCCCACCACCACCACCACCACAAACACAAACACAATTCTCTCACTTCACAGCCCGGCCTACATCGACAACCACCTATTCGGAGCCGGATTACGGAGCGGACCAAATTCACAACCCTCCCTCTGTCGCGCGCGCACATGGACAGCCCGTCATAGTAGAGGGACCTTATCTTCGTGGGACAAACATGGCTTCACCGCCAGGATATCAGCAGCCCGACTGGGAGCCTGCCTTCAACGCCAGGATGTTGACAGATTTCAGAGAGGACCTTGCCCGAATGGACGGAGTCATAACACCAGGAGTAGACGACACTCCATATATTCACCAAGCGATTGAAGCACTCACTCGCCGTGATCGCGATACTGGTTATTCCGCAAATGAGTCTTCGAGCAGTGACAGCGCACAGGCTGGACCGTCGATATATCCGAACCAACCACACCGACAGGTTTACCAACACCCTCAGCAAACGCCACGACCTATCTCCACGGGACCAATTCAGGAGGGGGATGAAGTGCTGCAACCACCTAATCCACAATTTTCGAAACCAAATCCAGCCGCTTCCGCCGACTCGCTTGCCGAAAGTTTGCTCAAAGGCGCTAGGAAACCTGCGCAGCCTCATGAATGGAGACCAGTGGAGAGGGAGGAGATTCTCAACAGAACTGGGGAATGGAAGGCCCAGGGAGTACCGCCACTTACTTTTAGGCCATGGCCATTACGAGCACCCGCTTTGTTTGGGTTCATGGCCATGTGTGTGCTGATGATCGCGGCTCTTGCCTTTGGTGCTGTTTGGTCACATCAAAAGCAGGGGTTAGTTGGTTGGGACGACATCGTGGGCGGCCGGTATTTCGTCTTTAGGATCCTCCCGCAACTAATCGGGGCTGTCTTCCTGCTCTATGCGCAGTTCATCATCACAACCATCTTCCGGATCCTACCGTTTGTGCGGTTAGCTTCTCACGACCCTCAGGTCCGTGATGGTGCGGTATACCAGAGACTCTACCCTTCGTTTCTCTGGCCGAAGTTTGTCGGACCGTGGAATGTCTGGGTGCCGATCTTTGCTACTTGGCTGATGAACTTTACCATCCCGCTTCAGAGCTCGCTTTTTACGGTTATTCTTGCGGAAGAGGGGGAGGAGAGACAGTGGGTTTGGGCCACATGTCAAGGTGTGGCTTGGGCCTTGGTAGGGTTATACCTGTTGTTGCTCATTTCAACAATCATCGTCTGGAGATTCTGGGCAACTACCGAAAAGACCGGTCTGATTTGGGACCCTCGATCTCTGGCCGATTACATCGCCATCGTCTCCGAAACCAACACCGCGACCGACTATCGCGGTACTCAACTCGCCCGCGGAATAGAGGGCATCCGCTTCGCCCTCCGCCGCCGTGCTCACGATAGGCTAGGGTACTGGACCTGGAAAGATGGTCGCCCGGGTTTCTGGCATACTCTTGGGAGCCCCATGGATAACGAGTCCAACCTCCTTCCCTTTCCGGATGTCACCAGCGGTCAAAGAATGGAGAAACAACCATTCAACAACCAAAGCCCCCTAATCGAAAACCCCGATCACCATCCCGACCTCGAAACCTCGGACCCGAACGCCACAATCCGACACAGATACCTCCCCTGGTCTTTGCGAACAAGCCAACTCCTCTGGTTCATCATCGCGAGCGTTATCCTCCTTGCCGCCCTCTTTGTCGTCTCCTTCCTCCCATCAACTCGTATAAGCAAGGGCTTCACCCCCGGATTGCGCGCCGACCCCCAACCAGGCGCGTTCTCCGCCGCGGATTTCCTCTACGCGTTTGTCCCCTCCCTGTTGGGGATGATGCTGTTCCTCAGCTTCCAGCACATAACCACCCACTTCCTCATCCTCACGCCCTGGGCGGCACTATCTTCCCGCGGCGGTTGCCGAGCGGAAGAGGGACTCCTAGTCGACTACCCAGCCTGCCTCCCCCTCGAATCCAGCTTCAAAGCCCTGAGGAACAAGCATTTCCGCGCGGCGTTTCTGTCGTTCAGCTCAACTTTGTTTCTGGCGATCCCGGTCCTGGCAGGGGGGATGTTTATGGCCTTGACGAAACTATCCAGAACGAGAAGGGAAGAAGACGGGGTGGTGGTCGAGGACTGGGAGCAAGAGGTGAGGATGTATGCTAACATGCCTGCTTATACTCTTTTGCTGGCGGTGCTGGGGCTGTATCTCGTGGCGTTGGTGAGTCTTGTGCCAAAGAGGAAGGAGGTGGGGATGCCGCATGGGGTTGGGTGTCTGGCGGAGGTGGCGGGGTATCTTGTGAACAACGAGTTGAGGGAGGAGCTGGCTTTCAAGAGGTGTGTCAACAAGGAGGAGCTTCTGGAACGGATGGGTGCGGGGGGGAGGGGGAATGGGGGGATTGATATGAGTCCGAGGTGGTATTTCGGGTTTGGGGGGGAGGGGGTGGCGGGTGTGCCGCTTATTGGGGGGGAGCAGCAGCAAAATGGGGGGATGGAGAGTGAGCTTGGGATTAGGAGGTTGAGGAGGTTTACTGAGAAGAGGAGGGTTAGGAAGAGCATGATTAGGAGGGGGAATGATGGGTTGTCGTTGTGAGGTGGGGGTTGGCTTTTGGGATTGTTTGGAGTTTTGGGAGGATACCACGGTTGATACATTTTTTTTGGAACATTTGCGAAACATGGCGAATGTGAAAGGGGAGGGGGGAAAGATACTCGAAAATTGTTAGATACCAGGAAGATGGAAGGGTATAATGTCTGAATGTTGGTCAATGTATGAGAATGGAATGGAATGGAATGGCGGTGGGATGTGTTATGAATAATGTACGGAAATGGGTGGGCATAGTTGGGAGGGAGATTCTTTGTCACATACTACTTACTACTTACTCTTGTTAGACATGCCAAAAAAAAAAAGACAGAGCCGAATAAATGGTAGATATCTCTCTGATGAATTGGTCTTTGCATTTGGTTGGTGTGCATTAAATCAGTAGTCTGCAGATCCCACGAGCTGGCTGGGTGAGTTATCCTCCAATATCAACGAGAATTCCTAGCTCCATGACCTTGGTGAGGAGGGGAATAAGCCGGTTCGACGAATCAGGATAGGCACGCATGAGCTTTTCAAAAACATATGATACTTTGATTTGCTAAACATTTACCATGCCCAGCGGTAAGATCCATGTAAGGCGTCATGATAAAACCCTTCCACCACGCCAACTTCTTTTCAGACATTAACAACAAAAACGTAGTAATAATACCAATCAGCCGCGAGGCCTGTCCTGTCATATTCCCTTCTCCCACCTATACCGATTCGCCCCCTCTTTCCATTTGCCGCGAGGCATCCTTGCCCGTCTTTTTGAATTAAATAAGTTTTGTAAGCTCAAGATTATGGGTTGATCAACCCATTAGCATAAAAGTGATTGCTTCAGCCCATCCCCTTTTACACCATGCAAGGGGTATAATATGCAGCCTTATGTGCTTTTTTGGGGGGGAGGGGGGGGGGGTGTATCATCACCTTGCTGCCTGTCTCCCTTCCGACCGCCATATGTTTGGAAATGATGCTGGTACTGTTTGTCCCCCATCACTCCCAAAGATGTGATAAAACGTAGTATGTTGATGAATATGTAAACAAGCCGTGTGCTCTCAAGAGTGAGCCTGAATTGTTATCCTTGTCCTGCGATTGGCCGTGTGACCCGAGTATTCCTTTTTCTTTATCCAGTCCATGGCGAAGCGGCGGAACCACCTCCACTATTATCATGTCCGATGTCGATGTGACCGATGCCCACGATCCCGTCTCGACGACCCACCGCCGCCTGACCGCTCCAGCTCACGCTCCAACTCCTCAGCACGCCGGCGATAGTCCCTAACAATATCCCGGATATGTCTGATGCGGTCAAAGTCCAGCTCGAGCTCGTCTATCTGCGCCATGATGTCGTGGTAGCGCGCAATCTCGGCATCGGCATTGTCGATGAGCTGACCACTCTGGTCATAGACGCTCAGAGTTACTATTTGCGATTGTTCCATCAGGTACTCGAGCCGCTGCTGAATATGCTGCATGACTCGGTCAAAATGTCGGCCCAGCGCGGACAGAGACGAGCTGTCAATCATGAGTAGCCCCTGCGAAGACGCCCTGCTCGCGGCGCGGGAGGACGAGGACCCAGCTGCCGCCACTGCCTGCTGTCCATGTCGAAGGATTTGAATCTCGTCTTCTGTCAGCCCTAGTTGCGTGTCGGGTACGGCATTCGTGGACGGTTGTTGCGACGACGACGACATGGCGGCTGAAGCGAGTTTGAGGGATTGGCGACTGGTTGATTCTTCCTGCTGCTCCAGTTGTGCCGCAGCAGTTCCCAGCACCGTCCCAGATACTCCCTCGCGCTTTTGTCTTGTTGTACGAAGAGGAACTCCTTCCCGGCTGGCCTTGATCAGCAACCGGCGCTTTTCCGGAGCTTCAGGATTTCCCAGAGGACGGTGCAATTTGTACACCAACCGTCCTGCCGCACACAACAGTGTGCCGACGGTGCACTGCTTGACCCAGGAATTCACAATGTGCAGCAACCTTATCGTCTCTGGGGTTCGATATGTGTCACGGCTGCGGGAGGTATGAGCTGCGGGGTACTGAAGGTGTCGTCGATACTGGACGAGCCAAAGTATGTAGACGGCAACGAGCAGAGGGCGTATAGACTGCACCGGCCGGTAGCTTAAGCGTCGGCGACGTTTTCAGCGCGCACGGCATCATCGTATCGATCCGTTACTGTTCCGGTGCCATAACAGCTAGCGTTGAGGGCGCTGGGTGCGGCAGTCGAGGAGGTTTCGTCGAAAGGATCTAGCCGAAGTCGAGGCAGGCTACGAGCTGTTGCGGCACAAGGAGGGGTGGTGTCGTGGGAGCAGTGACTGTGTAAGATGCAGGCGAGACCGAGCCGGCGGGACCAGATTCCCGGTGATCTTGCTACGTCGGAGTGATACACGATCTTCGAAGCTGCCCGTGCGGGTGGTCGTCTCGTTCATGTACTGCGTTGCGCCAGACGTGAGCTTGATGGCGAGCTGAGGGTTACAGGAAAACCCGTGTGTACGTCTGTCAAGGGATTGTCGTCGGCGAGTGCTGTGCAATTGCTATGGGGAGATGTCGGCCGGCTCGTCAGGGGCGTCGAGGAACATGAGCTGTTGAAGTGGGAAATCAGCCAAGTTGTATCGAAGAAGTGGCAGCAAAGTGAAATAAATGGTCCCGGCATCCCCAATTCCTCGGCAGCGCATCAGCTGATAAGAGCTACTTTGATCCAACACCGGGCTTGAAATTGAGCCGAAAAAAAAATCCTGTAGCGCAAGCAATAAATATATACCGCAAGCAGCCGAGTGATCTCCAGGAAATCACGGGAGCCCATCAATATGATAAGTGAAGAGGGGGTCACAAAGATGTGAGACCTGCCGATAATACGTACGAGGAGGAAATCAACCGCGGGGGAATATCTTGTGGCCCCGGCAACCTCAAATCGGGGTAGCTATCGTGGAACGGTGATGGCTGACTGTGTCGCCGTTCATCAACGTGTCTGCCGCGCCAACTGCGGCAACAGGAAACCACGAGGATACGGTCAGGAATCGAGGAAGAAGCATTTTGCTAAAGTCGGCGACCCCAGGATTTGTGCTGTCATCTCCAGCGCCAGCTCTTGGCGTGGCGGTCCTTGTCGATGCGTCCGAGCTTTGGCGTTTACAGGGGTTTCGGTCGCACATCAGTTGTATTGAAGCAAGACACCAAAGCTTCCCGTTTCAAGACCAAGCTGTACATCTCATGAGGGACCAGCGTGTCAGAAATATATCTCACAAACGAGATCCGAGTAAGCAATATTCCAACAGCGAGTGCTCAGTCAGAGGCATCAGATCAGGTCGACCCACCAGGAGCTTGCCGTGTAAGTGCGCCAAGGCTCCATCACCACCAAACATGAAGAATCTCCATCATCATCTCATGAAGCAGATCCGGAGCAGCGGCAGTGGCGCGTGAGGTGCATGAACCTTGATAGCAGATGCCAATCTCAAATTGCGAATCAAAAGAATAGGATCTGCGAAACTGCCGTAACCTGGCGCAGCTTCTTGTCCTCTGGAAGCTGCAATTGAGAGCCAATGGCTTATCAGACCCACAGAAGAACCCCTGGTCTGTCACTTCAGCCTCACAACACTCCCAGACGACTACCTAAGGGCGACATTGTATAGATGTCTAACGTTATGGCTCGACGGATACGGGTTGCCCTGAAATAGGTGCCTTACCGAATTGCCAGAAAGCTACCTATCAAGATGTCAAGCAGCCAAAATACCCTGGGTGAGAGCATGAGAGGCATGGACAGCCCAGCACGACATATGACGCCTCAATGATATACAAACTAACCGATAGCTGACTGAGCAGCTATCGAGAGATGTTCCGAATAACGCAAGACGACAGTCGTCAAGTCGACCAGGACAATCGAGATTCCCCATAACTCGGGGCTGGATGCTAGAGAAAGCAGTACGGAGCAGCCTCCTCCGAGGTCGAGTGGGAGAATAGAAATCTCGTCAGTTCCCCGCCACAGGCCGCTGCAGCACAAACCCAGATAGTGACTCTTTACGCCTCTTGAAGCTGAAGACTGGTCATGATAATGTCCAATGCAGCCCCCAAGGCAAGCGAGTCACCCACTTGGCCGAGATGAGCTTGGCAGGGGGCAGAATGCAGTGTCACTTCAACTGCAGATTCAACGGCGATGGCAACCAAAGATGAACAATTAGCCTGCATATCGGCCTCGACCTCCCGTGTTCCCCGTCTTCACCTCTGGGCGGACCATTACTTCCATCAATGGGGACCGGTTCACGGTGAGCCCACCGTGGGCTGCTCAAGTATAAACATGGGCCTTCTTCCCGGCTTTACTCACGCTCAGTTCTTCAAGCTCAGGTTGATCGTCACCCGAGCTCACCCTCAGAATGTTGTCCTTGTCAAAACTGGCCGTCCTGGGCCTGGGACTCATCTCACAAGCTTCGGCCGTGATCCTACAAAACGGCCAAGTCAGAGAGACCAACTTCCCCAACACCCGCCTGGACAGCTTTTCTCCCTCTTCCTACAGGACATATCCCGCAAACGCGAGTGAGATCTCCTATAAGGGACGCTGGGACTCCAAATATGTCTCCTGGTGGTCGTAAGTTTTCCCATCCACCCCCCATCTCAGCTCATTGTTTCTAACCCTCTCCTCAGAGCCCCCGGCATCAAATTCGGCTACACCGGCCAGACCGTCGCCATCACTTCGGCAACTTGACCACCGACCGCGTCCTCGTCGGCTACCGAATCGGCGGCCTCGACTGGATCTTCACCAACATCACTGCGGGCGCCACCCACCTCCTTGTCTCCCCGGAGACCCCCGGCTCCTCCCTCACCGGCCCCATCAACCCCTGGACCTTTGAACTCCGAGTCTCCAACTGGGCGTACGGCATCCAAATCGACTCCGTCCACGTCGCCAAAGGAGAGAAACTGATCAAAATCCCTGACCATGGCCGCCGCATCGAAGTCATCGGCGACAGCCTCTCCGCGGGCATGTACACCACCTACGAGGGCCTCACCAGCTGGGCCTACGGTCTTGGGGCTGGTTTAGGAAACACCGAGTACTCCGTCACCGGGTACCCGGGCATTTGCGCCGCAGATCAAGACTGCTGGGGCAACCCCCGAGGGCAAGTCCATCAGTGGTTTTACACCTCCGACACCAGCTGGAGAGCCTCCCAAATTTGGGGAGACAACCCTGAGCCATGGGACTTTTCCAAGCAACCCGCCGCTGACATCGTCGTGATAAACATCGGCACCAACGACCACAACCAACACAACAACGTCTCTACCGAGGCGTACATCGACGCGCTGGGTAAGATCATCCAGGGTGTCCACGGCAAGTGGCCCAAAGCACAAGTCATCGTCATGTCCCTTTGGCTAGGGTTCTACCAGCAGGGGAATACCTACCTCCCCAACGCGCCGGAGGGTTGGGTGAAAGAAATCCAGGACTTGGTGAAGTACTTCAACTCGGACAAGTACCTCAGCCAGCCGGTGATCTATGACGGGGTGACGAAGAAGAGCACCAAGTTGAGGGTGAAGAGGAAGGAGAGCCCGTTTGTGCACTGGTTCAATACCAAGGGGATCTTGCAGCATAATGATATTGGGCCGCAGTGGCATCCGACTGATGTGGGGGCTATCAAGGTTGCTAGTCACTTGCAGCAGTTTATCAGGATCAAGTTTGGGTGGGAGTTGGAGGCTACGGGGCCGGAGGTGTGGCATGAGACGCTTTATTGGAATGATGAGAGTGGTTATTAGGGGGGTAGAGGTGTTCTGTTCTGTGCATAAGGTTGGGTATGAGATTGCGAGACTGGAAATATATGAAATATATGTCTGGGACAGCTCGCAAGATTGAAAAGTGCCTGTATCCTGCGTTGTGTGCGTTTAGAAGCTCTTACGAACAACACATGGCCGTTTGGATACTGCTTCCTGGCTTGTTGTTGTTGTATGAACAGTCTCCGTAGGTACCTCACGCAAAAACAAAAACAAATTACCATTTCAGCACAACCAAAGCACTTGTCATTCTGATGCGAAGACCATAGGGGGCTTACAAGTTTTGGAAACCAAGAAAGTTCTCGCTAGACAGATGATATCAAAGTTCTACCCCTTTGAGTGTCAGTGTCAAGCTTTTTGAGCTTGATACACAAAACCCGAGCTAGGCCACAATCCATACTCCTCAGATAAGCCGAGACATGATGCCTTGCATCATCCGCAAAAGCTCAGTCTATCTGATTTCACCTCATGATGTTTGTTTGCTACTTTGAAACGCTTCACATCCCACGACCGTGGTGTCCGAAGACGGTGCGAGACGATCCTCCAGCGTCACTGTGGAACATGAAGTATAAGTAGCAAACAAAATCCCAAAATCCTCTCATAGCCTGTCGGGTTTGTGTTTCCTATTCAAAACCGAAACCGGTTTCCCGGGAAGGCTGTCGTGGTGTTCTGGAAGGGTCTGCGGTCTGGACTGAAGCTGAACCGGCAACATCACTTCGATACGATACGTAACTTGTTGGCCTCGGCGTTTAACCTCCTCCCTATGGTAGATGATGATGGCGAATCTAGACCACAGGTGTGTTTTGATCCATCATACACCCCCTCGTGATTCAGAACAAGCCTAGGAACGAACTAACCAGCTTCAGGGGTTGCCCGTTTAGACTAGGGCCGCCCTGTGTCTCGATACACTGCCGCGGTTGAAGGCCCGGCCATAGTTCGCATGAAAAGTCTTCCGCGGTCCAGCCTCATCAATGCGCGCATAACGCGGTTATTGACTATTACCTCCTCGCAGGATGCAGCTTTGCATGGAATTCTGTCCTTCTCCCCAAGCTGGCCGGCCGAGCTGAAGCAAGAATGGTGAAGCGGCCACATCCAGCATCGTGGCCGCCAGCAGGTCCAGACGTTCTCGTGTTGTAAGGTGGATATACCCTCATCAGCCCCCGTTGGAGGAAAGGTCTCGCCTCCAAGGTCTAGCCTCGTCGCCCAAGCTGATGAACCGATCTATCTTTATCAGCTTCACCATCTCCATATCTACCTCGGAGGTATGTCCGGACGACTTGAATGGCTGAGCCGGTCTGAACAACAACAAGTTCATCCCATGACGGCAAGGGATCCCACGTTGTCCTGAACCATCACCGTTGAACCGAGAGCTCAGGTGAGGGCCCTCGGAGACCCGGTAGGCCCAGCCTCATTGTTGCAGCCGACTCAGCCGAGCTGCATCACAGCATCCTCCCTGTAGCAGACACAATCCACCACGTGCACGTGGAAGTTGAAGAAAAACGTTGAGATGTTCACGCAAGAAGCCGCATCACCAGGTTCGCCGCTGTCGAGATCACACGAAAAAGAAAAAAAAGCATGGACCAGGCTCACATACCAAACCAAAGAGCTAAGCCTTCGGGTGATTGCCGTGATTTTCCAACAGGCAGGCCGATCGATTCCCGGCCGCCTGTTAGAGCGGTGGATCTGGCTGTAACCCAGACCACCTCATCCCATCATCGAATCTTTCTTGTCAAGGGCCTGCTCCATGTTCAGAATTGCGCAAGATATCACCGAATCCGGCATCATACGAGGGACATGGTTTGCTAGTAGTTTGCAAGTGTCTTCGGCACTTGGGGCTCTGCTTTCTCTTCTCCACAGAGCACAAAGAAAGTTTTGCCTCTCCAGATTCACAAAAGTCTCGAGTTCGATAGACCCTCGATAGTTTTGCCATATCCATCGGAAATATTTGCTCCATCGCATGCTGAAAAAAAACCACTGACTCGCGAAGCTTCTCAAACCCGACGCGATTTTTCCCCCTCTCTTCAACATAGCGGTTCCACCCGCTGAAAACTGAGTTTTTTGTTGGCCTTTTGGGGACTGTAGTCTCTTCGCCTTTCGCTCCAATTCATGATGTTTTTTTTTTTTTTTTGTTTTTTTTTAATTTTTTTTTTAACTCGCCTTCCCATTACGGACTGACGGATTGTTTCCATAGTTTCCACACCCCAAGACAAACGTGATCGACGAACTCTGTTCCACTGTCCCATTCTCGGTATCGGTTCGGGGTCTGCTCGGGGATGCATGGATAGGGATTGTTTACTGTCTGGATTTCATGATGGGTTTTCCCCCCTCTGTGTCTGGGCCGATGATGAATAGCGGTGAGTTTGTTCGCCTTTTTGCAAAACCGCTTTGTCATGCTACTCCCCATCCCGCGGGAAAAGGTTTCATTCAACCCCAAAAGACCGTTGGACCGTTGAAAGCCGGCAGGGATGGCCCATAGCTGATGATACACCTGCTCCGCATGTTCACCGCATTGCAAAAATGCTACCGTGTCTTGCATCGAGGTCGTCTTGTCGCTACTGTGGTAAGGTCGCAACCATCAGCCCCTTCTGTCCTGCCTTCCTCTGGTAGCGTTGCGATGTGATGTTTGGTGATGTTTTGGTTCGCCTGGTTGAACCAACCAAGCGTGTCTCGCCAATTCGGGATCTGGCCGAACCGTGTGTCAAAAAGGGGGTTGCGCGCCTGTGTTTGAAACACAGAGGCTTGTCCACACTCGGCCCCCAATCACCCGGCACTTTCAAGCCTTCGCCGTTCTGATTCCCCAAGATAGGCAACCCGACGCGCTGGCCAAGGGTTTGTTCAATAACAACAGCCGACAAGAAGCGAGGCTGAAATTTTATTGTTGATGAAGCTGCAGCCTCGCGCCAACCTCGCTGTATTCGTATGTGATCAGGCGAGAAGAAGCAAGGCGGCTCGTCTTGTCATAGCCCTAGGGACTCCTTCCCGGCCGCCACGAAAGATGATCATCGTCCCACTGTTCGTTTTGGCGTCGCCCCGTTCCCGCACAAGGGGTTCGTCACACACGGGATTGCGGATGCGGAATTCGTGATGGGTGTTCACCCCATTGTCTCATCCCACGAGCCTCCTCTTCATCATCAGCGTCATATACCGCTGCGGCTGATGCAGGTAAGCAAGCCCAAGACAGGTTGAGAAACCATTCCTCTGAGACATACATACAGTCGAGATGAAAGTTCTCGAGAGGTGAGCAAAGTTCATGATTGGTAGGGCGAAGTCCCGGCAGCTGGGTAACGGGCCACAGCTTAGTGATTGCTTAGCGTCATGATCTTCATCCGCCTCAGCCGCCATGCAGAAGCACAGGGCACAGATCACCACCAACCACCACTAACAAGAAGCCCATTGTTTCAGCCATTCCTACCGCGGCTTATCAATATTTTGCTCACGGAGGTGCCCGGGGCGTGCGTCCATCACCGAATAAATCGAGCTAGCAGTTAGCAGCGGCAGCGGCAGGAAGGGACGGGCTGATCGAGATCAGATCATCTGATGATGGTTCTCGGGGAATGCCTGTGTGAAGGATTCGCCTACCCCGAGCCGGTATCTTGACTCTTTTCAGCTTGTCCGTTATGAGGATAGGCCTGCCACTCCGAGGAGAACCTCGCTGTTGACGAGAGGCTTCGTTATTGCCGGCGGTGAAGGCGAGACTGGGACAACGATGAGTGGGCTGATTGAGGGGATCGCAACGTTGCGTATCCCGCAGAGGCCAGCGCTCTTGGCAGTGTTGGTGGATAGGATGTCCCAACCAGGCGAAAAGTCGTGCTCAGCAGAAAGAAGCCAGGGTCACCGGTGAGGGACCGGTCAAGAGATCTTGCATCATGGAAGGCAACCTTCAGGAACGCCAACCTGAAGCCCTCGACTACTTCCAAGATTTGGGCAATGATGCCGTGGAGAGAGGTGATGTATCGCAGAAAACTAAAATGGGGTCAGTGTCGATCCTGTGGTCGGTTGAAACTGTCAAACCACCTTGGGGAACCTTTACACTGCAGCTGCCATTTGCTTCTTTCCGGTGGTCTCCCCTCCTGCAATGCATGGTCGTGTGGCACATGGCACAGCCATCACCACAGCGCACTTGCGCATGGAACTTGCCAGAGGGCAAAAAGGGTCGTGGATCGTGTGGTGTATCCTGCACCGTGGCGCTGGATAATTGTGTCTCACTTTAGCATCTCGTCCAAGGCCAAATACTGGCAGCGGATATCTGCACAATGCTGTGCTCACCTTCTTCATTCTTTTCCGCCCACCCTTCGCGATGTCCTCCACCAACAGAAAGCCTTCAGCAGCAACAACTTGACGCTTTCCTCCTAGTGCCATATCTAATATAAGCAAGGCTGTGATCCTCGATCTGTCAATCTTGAGTGCCCCGAGTGATCTTCATGATCTGGTCCCCGTTCAATCGCATAATCCGCACAGACGAGCTACTTTCCCCTTTGGTACTACCTCCCCAGCTGCTGATTCGCCGGTTGTCTCACCTTACCTAAATCAGCCGGCGCGGTCCGACACAACCCACTCCGCTGGGAAAATGACATCAACCACACACCAACCAGAACAGCACAGACCACCAACCGTGCCACACCCTCACATCCGGTGCTGTTGCTGATCATCATCGGAAATCTTGCTTTGCTTCTTTTCTCGCGTGAGAATGCCACATTCGAGAAGTTCTTCCAAAAGTTCCATCCACCACAACCTTTCTCATCTTGGCAGACGTGCAGTAAACGTGGTGATCGACAACACCCTCAACTTTGTCGCTCCCTCCAAAAAATGTGATGGATGACGTCTGACTCGCCCAATCCACACGCACGAACCACCACGACTTGCGTCCAGAAGCACGCTAGAACAAATCACCCCCCAACCAACTTCTGCATTGCTGGTCCCTGAAGATGGGATGGGCAAAAAGAAAAAAACCTTGGACGAAAGACCTCGTCTCACATGGCTCCACG